GGAAAACTCAGGATTGTGGAACAAAGGGAAGGATGGACACGAATGATAGTTTGAGAGTAGCGAGTTTATGGCATTCGATGCACGCCATTTCTCAGCAGCTTTCACCTGTAAATGGCTGTTCTGGAATCGAGCTTCTCGAAGCCGATACTTTTGATCTCCATTGTTTCCAGTCTCTCCCAGGTAATATTCATCACCATTTGCAAGATTATATCATTCACAATGTCTTCCTGTCTTGATTGTTGATCTTGTTTCTTCACTTACGTCTCAGGAACAAAGTTCTTTGTGGTTTGTGAACCTGGAACTCCTCACATGGAGAGCCTCCTTAGATACATTTATGAACTCTACACTGATTATGTCTTGAAGAATCCTTTCTATGAGATTGAAATGCCTATCCGTTGCGAGCTTTTTGATATCAACCTTACTCAAGCAGTACAGTCGGATCGCGTTGCATTGTTAGGACGGTGAGCAAGAGATTGATTGTGTTTTGGGATCTCCCTTCTTTTGCTTTTTTTTGTTTCTGTGGTTTTCTTATCCTGATAACATTTTGTATGTGATGAGATGATAACATTGCAAGAAAACCTAAGTTTACATCTATAAAGTTTGTTTCTCCCTTTCTCAGAGACCCCTTTTGTTTCTACCAAACAGCATAATACCTAAACAGAGAGAAGGTAAAGAGTCTATACATCCTAAACCCAATTGAAATCCCGCCTGCGTAACTGTTACATAATTGAAGGCCTAGGATAATTCACAGCTTGCGGAGATTTGTTGATGTTGTTTTCACTGTTGGGTTGAGGATTCTGCTGCTCTTTCGGTGTTTCCTTTTGGACATGAAGTTCTTCGAGTGTCTTCACGATGTCGTTCATGGTAGGTCTAACCTTGGGATCCATAGATATGCAATCGAGTGCAAGAATTGCAATTTTTAAAGCTCGGGTTAGTGAGTATTGACCTTGGAGACGAGGATCCATCACTCGGAGAAGCCTTCTTTTGTTTGTTAAGTAAGGTCTTGCCCACTCCACTAGATTGTGTTCTCCGACTGGTTGGTTCTTGTCGATTGCTCGTCTTCCTGATAGTAACTCCAGTAACACAACCCCGAAACTGTACACATCGCTCTTTGCCGATAAATGACCTTTCAAATTTGACATAAACATCAGTACATTGGAGTTCTTTGCATCGATCAGAGTAACAGAGAATTCTCATGCATACCTGTAGCTAGATATTCTGGAGCGGCGTATCCCTGAGTTCCCATGACTCTTGTAGAGACATGGCTATTGTCACCCATTGGACCATCTCTAGCCAAACCGAAATCCGAAAGCTTTGCATTGTAGTTCTGCAGATACAGAGAAACAGTAAAGATAAAAACTTCTATGGCTGCATCAAAAACAAAAGTATCAATCATGTGTCATACCGAGTCTAGCAAGATGTTGGATGCTTTAAAGTCTCGGTATATAACTTGGGGTTGAGCATTGTGGAGAAAAGCGAGTCCTCTAGCTGCACCAAGAGCCATTCGAACCCTTGTGTTCCATGAAAGTGGCTGAAAGAATGTTCCTCCTGTTTTGAGAAATGTATGAAAAGAATTAATCATTATGTGAAGCAAATTCTCTCATGAGCTTATTTCTCTTTGAAGATATCTGAACTTACTTCTGAATAAGTGATTCTCAAGACTACCACGGGGCATGAACTCGTATACGAGAAGTCTGTGCTCTTCTTCAAAGCAGTATCCAATCAGTTTCACAAGGTTAGGATGATCCAGCTGACCTAGATAATTGATCTCAGCCTGTTTTTTCATAGTTAAAAAAACCCAAAGAAAGAGGTTCAAGAATTCGGTTTTTCGATAACCTTGAAAATTTGAAATGGAGTCATGTGAAATAACAAAAAATGTAACTTGACAACGACAAAGCTGGGAAGAAATGTGACTAACCAGCCATTCTCGATGACCTTGAAACCCTTCAAGGTTAAGTCTTTTCACTGCAATGACAATCCCGGTCCCCGGTTTAGAAGGAACGAAGGAAGTTTCATCGATCCAGCCTTTGAAAACACAACCAAATCCACCTTCACCAACCACACTATCAGGCCGGAAATTCCTAGTTGCAGACTTTAGTTCACTGAGGCTAAAGTTCTTCAGATTAGCATTTTGCAAGATCTCGCCTTCTGTTCGAGGCATATGAGAGAAGGAAGTAGTCGACGATCCCTTACTCCCATCTCTACTCAAGAATTTCGAACTTAGCCCTACAAGAATTCACCACTCAGTACATTCAAAACACACAAAACTTCCACATTTAGATTCTATTTTAAGAAACAATGGTTGATGAATCTGGTTGTCTAAATCTGGCTACAAACCAAAACCACATAATGAACCATAAACAGCTTTAAATCTACGGATTTTATTCTAAAAAGACAACTCTTTTAGAAAAAGACTTAAAGTGACAGTCACTTCTACATAGCCGACACTTTGGTTTCTATAGATTCAGTTCTTAACTAACAAATGGAAACATATTATCTGCTAATCTGAACAAGAACCTCACTTTATAACTTTCTAATTCAGGACAAAGCATTGGAATCTCCATGAAATAAGAATAAGAGAGAAAAGGTACGAAATTGAGTAAGAACTCACAAGTACTGGAAGCAATATCTGTTTTGATCCGATTACTGAAACAAGCTCCCATTAAAACAAAAAGTAGACCTATCACTCACTAAGTTCTAAAAGAAGGAGAAAAACAAAAAGATGAGAGCTTTATGTGTGTAAACACAAACCCAGAAAGAAGACGTACAAAATGGAGCAAAAGTTTGAGAAAAGACCCAAAAAAACCCCAAAATTTGAGAAAGAAAGAAAAAAAACGAAGATTCCTCTCCCAGAGAAGAAAGAAAAATTTGAGGTGGCTACAACAATGAAATCTCCTAACTTTTTTTTGTTTTTGTCAATAATCTCCTAATAACATCTGTTCTTCTTGAGAAAAGTCTTTTGTGATAATAATGATATTACTTGAAATGAAAAAGAATTGTGAAAGATTGTTTTTTGTTTATTAAAGCTCTTTCCTCTCACTTTCTGTATGTTTGGGACCTTTTTTGGGTACGCTCGATTGGACTTTGTCTTCTACCTCATCTTACCTCTGTTTATCGTTGACTTTTTGACTTTTTTTCATAAGACTTTGAGTCTACCACCCACGGGTGGGTTAAATAAATAGCTTCTTTGATTAAACAAATTGCAATTTTTTTGGGACCAAAATAAGAATTAGTTTATTTCACTATGATTTGTTCAAAGAAAGAGAAATTTTATTATAAGCAATGGAGAATTGAGAATAAATTATCAGTAAAGATATTATTAATGTTTGTTTTTGAGTCGGTAAAGATATCAGTTTATTTGGAAATGGAGATTCGATAGTAATGATTTGCAGTTTTATCTTATTTTTCTTGTTTAATATTTTTAAGAAGAAGTGATTTATACCTAACAAAAACATTATAAACAGTTGTTTTTAAGTATGTTTGACTAGCTATAATTCGTTAAAAAAAGATAAAAAGATTTATAAGAAGCAATGGAAAATCGATAATAATGATCCACAAATTTTACCTTATCCTTTCGATTTAGAACTTTCCAAAATGAATAATTTACCGCCAATCCTCTATATATTAATTGAGGAGACATTTGGTGAAAAATTCTATGTGTCACTCAATGAGGATTTTAAGGGACACATCAATTAACTTAACCAATCAAAATATTTCAATTAAGTCTATATGTCATATTGGAAATCTCTACATATTTACATAAATATTTTTATATGAACTCACAAACACATGTATTATATATTTATATATGAAAATGTTATATAACATAAAGTTTTAACGATGAATCATTTATCAATATTTACTTTATAAAAATTGTGTTCATGTCCATTTAGATACCGTATATAATTGATCATACAACTTTTTTTTTTATAGCGCTTAATTTTATACATATTACTATAATTAAAGTTACGCTTTTATTATAAACGTACAAGTTTACAAATCAAACATTAATGTTGACAAAAAAAATCAAATATTAATACTTGAATTTCGAAAAATCATGAATTTTACTTTTATGAGTTATTTGATGTTTTATATGGTTTTAATATGCGATATGTTTTTAGTTTTGGTAACTCAAATAAGTTGGAAATAAAAATCTCAAACGTACTCAATTTACAAAAAAAAACGCTTACATTTAATTTAAGTGTCATACGAATTAAATTTTGTAAAATAAAATATATTTATCTATATGAAAAATATATCATTTGATCTTTGTTATTTATAAATTTTCCGGTGTATTAAAAAAATTATGAATTTTTTTTTCTAATATTCTAATCCCGCGTCAAACGCGGGACAAAAATCTAGTAAAGATATTAATCAATGATTTTTTTTTCTGAGCATGGGAAAAGAAACTGCAAAGTTTGGCCTTTAAACATCATGTTTAGCCAAATAAAAATGATCTAATGTTTTCATATCACTTACACATGATCCACTATTTCCATGTTGGTTTGTAGTGCCAACATAGTAGTGGATAAAAAGGTGAACTATGTTAACTTTAAAATCACTTGAAATAACTGCCGAATTAAAACAAAAAGATGAAATGAATACAACTATTTCAATAAATGCATGTCTATCATTACATTAATGTAATTTGTTTTTTCACTATCGGTAATGAAATTAAAATAAATTGGCTAGACAGCCATGGACCCAGCCCAATTTACTGATAGTGAGAAATCATTATGGGCTCTAGGCTTTATGTGGCAATCGCTATTCTATTAATACATCAATGGGCCGTTACTATTAATTAATGATATATTGTTTTCTTTTTTAGTGTATAAATAATATGAATTTCTTTTAATAATTTGTTGGGACACAAAAAATTTAAGTTCAATGCATAATTTCATTTTACAATATTGATTTCAGTACATAATCCACCTATACTACATCAATTACTTTCTATATATTTTATAAACATTATTATATATCTTTGAATTGGTTTTTGTTTTGTTTTCATCTTTGGCTCAATGGCCATTTACCTACCTTTCATGTATCTCATTTTTTCTCTAGTTCTCTCTTAGTAGTTAGTAAGTTAAAAAATTAATTTATTGTCGTTACTAAACAATTTATTTCTAGCGATTCACTAGTTATTGGTCTTATATGGAGCTAGTGAAAACATAAAAAAGTAGTAGTATAAATTTAGGGATAATTTGCTATTAATACAACAAAACAATTATAGTTTAAAAACTAACCAAAAAACTTAAATCCAATGTCCAAGATTGTGTTACATACCCTTTTCACTAATTTTTTAAATATATATATTTTTTGGTTTTTCGTTAAAAAAAGCCCATAAATTTACTAGTCATTGAAAATTGGGTAATTTTAACTACTTCACCGAAAAAAATAAAAAAGGAAAACAATTTTTCAATCATTAAGCTTCGTTTGTAATCTCATCGTAAAAGAGAGACTTCCCGAGCTCCACGAACCGCCATGGCTTAACCAATCTCCCACCTATAGAAGTCTTTTAGAATTGGGGGTTTTTGCAGCAATCGGAGAAATTAGGGTTTTCTCTCTGACGATTTGAGGTACTTCTTCTTCGATTTTGGAACCAGACCCGATTTTGATTGTTGAACTTAGACATAGGATTTTGATTTTATCCAGTGTTGATGTTCTGAAAATCGGCAGTTTTCGTTGAACGATTCAGGTTTTGTGTGAAGTTCGTCTGCCTTGGGTGTGAAGAGGATCACTCTCTTCATCGTCTTCGTTAGCCTCCGATACTTTCCTCGTCGGAGGAACAAACCCTGGAGAGTCACAGCTCCGTGTCAGGGTTAAGCAGCTGTTTCTGCAGTGTTGTGTCGGTGGTGGTATTGTATATCCGCCGCTCGTTAATCGGGGGAATGGAGTCCGATTCGCCTCTTTTCGGTTCGTTTCCTCCCAGTCCACATGATTTGCTCCTCGAGGTATTGTTCTCGAATTCGTATTGAGTTTGTTGTGTTAGTAGAAGTGATTGTGTGTGTTCATGACTCTTGAATGTATTATCTTGTAGAATACGTGGTGATGTAGTTTGTGTGTTGGTTTGTTTTATTGTACTGTTGACTGCTTGGAGTTAAAGTTTGGATTTTGTTTGTTTTGTAGAGGCTTGCCGGTGTTGGGGTTCCTAAGGAATATTGGTCTAAACGTGGTCTAGTGGAATTCGTTAAAGCTAACCAGTCCATGATTTCGGAGATAGTCTCTGCTCTCTTACCTAGAGATGAAGATGTTAAAATAGGATTGAAGGAATCTAGGGAACGGTCTCGAAAGTCTGCGGTAAGTCCTAGCATGAAAAAGAGGTTTAGGGAGAGCATGAATTGGCTGCAGTGGTTGATGTTCCGGGGTGAGCCTGGTGTTTCTTTGAGGAATCTAGCAAAATCGAATGTTGATCAGCGAGGTGTTTGTGGCTCCGTCTGGGGACACAATGATATAGCATATAGGTGTAGGACATGCGAGAATGATCCAACTTGTGCAATCTGCGTGCCTTGTTTCCAGAATGGGAACCACAACAACCATGATTATTCGATTATTTACACAGGTGGTGGTTGTTGTGATTGTGGGGATGAGACGGCATGGAAACGGGAGGGTTTCTGTTCAAAGCATAAAGGTTCTGAACAGATTCAACCTCTCTCAGAAAATCTAGCAAATTCAGTTGGGCCTGTAATTGATGCCCTTTTTGCTTGTTGGAACAACAAGCTCTTAGCTGCAGAAAGTATTGGTCAGAAAGATGCTAGATCCAAAGACTCTCTTGTAGTATTCCAAAAGATGTCAAACGAGCTGACATTTGTAGTGGTTGAAATGCTTCTGGAATTCAGCAAGTCCAGTGAGAGTTTGCTCAGTTTTGTTTCTAGAAGGATTATCTCTTCAAGTGGTCTATTGAATATTCTCGTAAAGGCTGAGAGGTTCGTGGACCAAGATGTAATGAAGAAACTACATGATTTGTTCCTCAAATTAATAGGAGATCCAGTCTTTAAGTCGGAATTTGCAAAAGCATTTGTGAGTTATTATCCAGTTGTCATAGGTGAAGCGGTTAAGCAGGGTAATGATAATGCATTCAAGAAATATCCACTGCTGTCTACATTTTCTGTGCAAATCCTCACGGTGCCAACTCTAACACCATTTCTGGTGAAGGAAATGAATCTGCTAGCTATGCTTTTGGGATGCCTCAGTGATATCTTTCTTTCTTGTTCTGGGGAGGATGGTGTGCTTCAGGTGAACAAATAGCTTATTTCCTCATTTGTTTGGTATAATGACACTTTTTCTTTGCTATTGTATTTGTTTAATGGTGATGAGTTTTATTTCCGCCTTGATTGTGTTCGAAGTGATATGTATTTGACACTTTTCTTTTGTAGGCTTCAAAGTGGGAACGGTTGTGTGAGATAAGTGAGCGTGTCATTGGAGACTTGAAATTTGTTATGAGCCATGCTGTAGTTTCTAAGTATGCAACACATGAACATCGGGAGTTATCAAGATCATGGTTGATACTCTTGACCTCTACGCAAGGAATGAATCCTCTAAAAAGAGAGACTGGAATCCCTATTGATGAAGAAAATGAGTACATGCATTTGTTCTTTGTCTTGGGTCATTCAATAGCTGTCATTCACTCTCTGTTGGTTAATGGTACATATTCTGCTCCCAGTGATGAAGAAATAGAAAATGAGAGAACCACCAAGGCAGAATCTGGTAAGTGTAATGGAGATGGAGAAAGGTATGCAAAAGTTGGGAGATTGTCTCATGATGATTCGGTATGTACTGCGATGGTAAGCAGCAGCTCCGTTGATAGCTCAATGACCTCTGAAGTCCACAAAATTGACCCTTTCCATGCCCTGCTTCCTTCTTCTGCCATATGGTTAATACGCGAATGTTTGAAAGTTCTAGAGACATGCTTAGGAGATGATGAAGGTATATCGAAGTTCCTTTGCAAGTTGCTTTCTCCTAATGGCAAAAACATCCCTGGCAGCAAGATTTCGTGGCCAAAGAGAGAATTGCTAAAGGTTGAAACTGGAAGAAGTGTATCTAGTGGTCTTGCCAGTTCTAGTAGAGATCCGAGTACTGGCTTATCACCTCTATGTGGCGACATACAAACAAATCTTAGCTTGGATAATGTTGGTGGGCCGAATAGGGAGGTTCAGACAGACATAACAGCTGATGCATCAGAAGTACATATTCTTGGTCTGTGTGATTGGCCGGACTTCAAGTATGATGTGAGCTCTCAGGCCATATCAGTTCATCTACCTTTACACCGGTTACTTTCTTTGCTCATAGAAAAAGCATTAAGGATATGCTATGGAGAATCTGCATTGCACCATGGAGTCAGTGTTAGTCATGAGATCCCACAAGCAGACTTCTTTAGCTCTGTGATAGGAAATTTCCATCCATATGGATTTTCGGCACTCGTTATGGAGCATGTTCTTCGGGTTAGGGTGTTCTGTGCCCAGGTTATCGCTGGAATGTGGAAGAAGAATGGGGATTCTGCATTAGTATCTTGCGAGTGGTATCGGTCAGTACGTTGGTATGTGAGCATACTATTGTTATCATGATATGCTGTTATTCATCATATTCTTGCATGTTTAACTTGATGCATTTTTTGAAAATTGGTAAACTGATGTGGAGAGATTAGTCCTTGATCACTCTAGTTGTTTCTATTTTCAGGTCAGAACAGGGACTTGAGCTTGATCTATTTCTTCTGCAATGTTGTGGTGCGTTAGCTCCGGCAGATTCTTATGTTGATAAGCTTCTCAGCCGATTTGGGCTCTCGAGCTATCTTTCACTCAATCCGGATGTAACAAATGAGTATGTACCTATTGTTCTCTTTGATCCAATTGCATGGTTTAATAGTTTTGCTACATTCAAACTGTCAAGTTATCTCCTTCAATTTGAGTGTCTCTTCATTTGATACATCGATCTATATTGAAGTAGAGCACACATTGTCTCTAATTGAATGTATTGTTCTCAGCTCATAATTATTTAATGCTAGATGGTCAATCAAAATGACTCTGTGGTATCTGAAGATATTATTAGTATTTCTTGCCTCATTTTGACATGATTCTTATCATAAAATTCTTCACAGATATGAACCAGTTTTGGTCCAGGAAATGCTTGCTCTTCTGATACAGATTTTGCAAGAAAGGCGATTTTGTGGTCTTTCTACTGCTGAAAGTTTGAGAAGAGAGATCATCTTCAAGTTAGCCACTGGAGATTTCACTCATAGTCAATTGGTGAAATCTTTACCCCGTGACCTGTCCAAGTTGGATGAGCTCCAGGAGGTCTTAGACGAGGTTTCGGTCTATTGTAATCCATCTGGCATGAACCAGGTCTTGATTGTTACCCACATACTGGCATCACCTTTAATTTGACACACAATGTAAAAATCACTTGACATTAGTTCTTTGGCAGGGAAAGTATTCACTACGGTCATCTTGTTGGATGGAATTGGATCTCTACCATCCTCGTTGGCATTCGAGAGAATTGCAATCTGCAGAAGAAAGATTTTCCCGCTATTGTGGAGTGTCTGCGTTGACCACTCAGCTCCCTAGGTGGAGAATGATCTATCCGCCTCTAAAGGGGCTTTCTAGAATAGGCACTTGCAAAGTGACATTTCAAATAATTTCCTCTGCTTTATACTACGCACTACAGAGTGGTACATCTGTTAAATCACGCGCTCCAGATGGCGTTCTCATAACTGCACTGCACTTACTCTCGTTATCATTGGATATTTGCACTCAGCAGAAGGAATCTAGTATTCAGACTTGTTGTGTAGAAGATCCAATTCCGATTCTCGAATTAGCTGGTCTGGATATAATTGGCATGAATCAAGGGACTGGAAAACAAAGTTTGTTGTCTCTTCTTGTTTCGTTAATGAGGACTCGTAAAGATGATGGCCTTTATCAAATCCCAGAGGCAGGCAGTTGCAATATGTCATCCTGGATTGAAAATCTGCTGAAGAAGTTCAGTGCAATTGATTCTGTTTGCATGAGGGTATTGCAAAGTATTGCCCCAGAGGTGGTCGGTGAATCTGGCTTTGATAAAGTCTCGTCAGGCTCTACTTCTGATGAGAAACGCAAGGCTAAAGCTAGAGAGAGGCAGGCTGCTATTCTGGTAAGAATTTTTAAATTTCAAAGCTAGCGCACAGGTTTGACATGAAACCGGTAGCCATATGTAGGATCGTGCACTTTAACATACGAGGGCTGCTATTTGCTACTTGACTGGTCTGGGTCCTGCATGCTCCCTGTTGATGTTTAAGACAGTCTGAATTGTTTTTATGTTCATTATTCAAGTTGTTATCTACTGTAATTAATAGAGTTATTCATGGTTACTCTAACTTGCATGCAGGCAAAAATGAAAGCTGAACAATCAAAATTCTTGTCTTCCTTGAGTAACGGCATGGATGATGATGATCCAAGATCTGAAACTGAAACAAGTGATTCTGTGATGGAAGATGATTCAGAAATTGCTGTCCGTGAAGTTTGCTCCCTCTGCCAAGACCCAGATTCCAAAGACCCCATTTCTTTCTTGATTTTTCTCCAGGTTGTTATCATGGATGATGCTATTATTTGAACCTTTTAGTGTTAAACACATATGCACTCCGAGGAACTTTTGTTTTGCATCATTCTTAATGATCTCTTTTTTTTTTCTTTTCCTGCAGAAATCTAAACTTTTGAGTTTTGTGGATAGAGGTCCTCCATCTTGGGATCAAGGTCCACAGTCCGAAAAGAAGGTATCTGTGGACGGAGCTCCCGATCTCCTGGGAATGAATGTTTCCTCAGATAGTTTAAGAATGAGACCTCTTGTGCTGCAATTGTTAGATGATGCAACCTCTGAGTCTGCTACAGATTCTGTGCTTGAATCTTTAAAAGCCCGGCTTAAAGGGAATGGTCAGAAAGAGAAGAGGTCTAGCGATGGGAGGGGAAAAGATGGATCTAACATGGAATCATTGGAGATGGCTATGTATCAAACTATTCGTAAAAAAATTGAAAACTTGATAAATCACAGCCTTACAGATGTAGATCTTCGACAGCTTGAAGCTGAAAGTAGTTCAAAGAGAAATTCTGTTGGTGGTCCATCTACTTTGCAAGGTAGATCTGCTGATATTCGATCAAGACAGACCCCTAGACATCCTGATATCAGTTCAGATGGGTTTCATCCTATCGACTGTGATGGGGTTTATCTTTCATCATGTGGACATGCTGTGCATCAAAGCTGTCTTGAACGATATATAAACTCATTAAAGGAAAGGTGAGCCATGTTTGAGTGCTTTGTAGTCGTAAGTGAGAAACAAAAATCTGAATTTATCAGCTTGTAGATAGGTTGACCTTTTTTTTTCCAAGTTAATATCCGCTTCCTACCTGCTGTGCATAATTGAATTTGATTATTTTGCTTTCTTAATTTACAGCTGTGAATTAACATTGCATTTTTAAAGGTTCCTCTTTTTGTTTGGATGCTGTAGGTCTATCAGAAGAAATGTCTTTGAAGGTGCACACATTTTAGATCTAGAACAGGTATTTGCTTGACCAGTTTAGAGTTAATTTTCTGAGGCTTTAATCTGCTCCTTCTGAAGCTTCAACATTGTTTCAGGGAGAATTTCTCTGTCCTGTATGCCGCCGACTAGTCAATTCCGTATTGCCTGCATGTCCTGGAGATTTGTGTTCTATTTCAAAGCTACAAGAAAGTTCTCGTGCTAAGTTAGGTAGATCAGATGCACAGAAGCCTTCTCTTGGGCTCTCTGAAGCGTTGTGTCTACTACGATCTGCTGCTGAAGTGATTGAAGATGGTGATAGCCTTAAAACAGTTTCTCTGCATGGAGATGAACCAAGAAGGAAAGATCTTGAATCTGTCTCTAACAAGCTCTGGCATATCTATTTTTCCAAGGAAAAATTTCCGGGAAGTCCGTGGCTACCACAATCAATCGTCATGTGGGACACTCTTAAGTACTCTCTTATTTCGATGGAAGTTGTTACTCGTTGTGCAAAGAATTCAATGCTTCCTGTCTATTCTACTAACTCCTTGTATGAGGAGTTTAAATCCTCTAAGGGAACTGTTTTGTCACTCTTATTACGAGTGGTACAGAGCACCCGAACAAAGAATGCTATTCATGTTCGCCAGAGATTAATGGGTATGAAGCATCTTGCAGAGTCTATTTGCTCTGGAATTTCAAGTAGTTCTTCCAGCAGCATATTTGGAAGTGAAGGTACTTTTTCTCTAACTCTGAAAGTGAATGAATTGTATGGAAATCTCTGTCCACATGGCTTCCGTGTCTGTTCTTAAAGCTGACATTTGTTGGGATTAATTTTATTCTCTCTACAATTTCCCATTTGTTAGTGAAATAGTTGGTGGTAACTGTAGATGTTTCTCGATAGACTCTGAGATTAGTTGTCATCTTTTCAGGCACAACAGGTTCATTGAAGAATATAAACCTGCTCTGGAATCGAGCATCTGATCCAGTTCTTGCCCATGACCCATTTTCATCACTGATGTGGGCTCTCTTTTGTCTCCCTTTTCCTTTTATCACATGCGAAGATTCTCTATTATCACTTGTGCATATTTTCTACAGTGTCTCTCTTGTTCAGGTATGCTACATTGTTCTCTGCGTATAGGCTAATTTTGCCTCTTAAGACTCATTTTTCCTAATCACGTCGTCTTTGGTGCAGACTGTAATTGCTTATTGTGCATGTCGCCTGTGTGATGACTCAAGTGAGTTAAATTTTGAGGAAAACCTGCTTAATGACATCTCCAGCGCTTTGAGAGAATCAGGTGGTTGGGGGTATTTCAGGTCCAACAATATGGATTTGTCATGTGATATAAAAGATACAATCCGTAAATTTAGTCTTCCCTTCTTGAGGAGATGTGCATTATTCTGGAGGCTACTGAAAGCTACTCCCGGGAAGTTTCACGAAGAGCTAGATATGTATGATGTGCCATCTGATTCCACTGGCGACAATATGGATTTCATGTACACTCCCCAATCTGAGCTGAATCATGTGCAAGAATTGGAGAAAATGTTCAAGATTCCTCCTATCGATGCCATTCTCAATGATGAACTTCTCCGGTCTTCAACACGAACATGGCTCCAGCATTTTCAGAGGGAATACAGAGTCAACAGAGTTAAAACGCCCCTTTGCATCAACCCTCTTGTTCCTTTTCAGCTAATGAAATTACCCAATCTATACCAGGAGCTACTGCAAAGGTTTGCAGCAACGTCTCTTTCTGGCTTTTGCTCTGAGTTTTTTTTTTTTCGCATTCGAAGAGAATTTCTCTAATCAAGAAGCATGCTTTCTTTATTAGGTGTATCAAAAAACTTTGCAGCAACTGCACAAAAGTTATCGAAGAACCTGCACTATGTCTTCTGTGTGGAAGATTGTGTTCTCCCATGTGGAGACCTTGTTGCGGGTATCTGCTTCACTTTCACAAGTCTCCAAATATTGTTTTTCTCGAAGTTGTTACCGTCTCAGAAACCTAATAGCTAACGTTCCAACATACTTTTACAGAGAAAGCGGTTGTCAGACTCATGCAGTTACCTGTGGTGCTGGTACTGGTGTATATCTTCTGATACGGGTATCGTCTCTTTCTCTGTCTCTCTTGTGGATCTAGCTTCTCTCTTTTATTTTCTATATTGCTTGTGTTTGCATCATTATTGGGCTTTTAATCGATTTCTACTGTTCACTTGATTTTTTCGATAGCGGACCACAATTTTGCTACAAAGATTTGCAAGACAATCACCATGGCCATCACCTTACTTGGATACGTTTGGAGAAGAGGTAAAATCTACAAAGATTTTTCCTCCTACATCTTTAAGTTCACTCGATATGACCTGTGTTAAACTGCTTTTTGTTTCAGGATATCGATATGAGCAGAGGGAAACCGCTATACCTGAATGAAGAACGTTATGCTGCTTTAACTTACATGGTAAAAAAAAATGCTTCTCTCAAATACAATCACTTAAAATCAAAAGGACAAGTTTTGTTTGGTTTGTATGGTAATTATCATGATTTGGTTTGTGAAAAATCTTTCTCAGGTTGGTTCTCATGGACTCGAATCCAGTTCGAAAGTTCTCAATCTAACCACGATCGGAACCTTCTTAACTTAAAAGGTCTTCTTTCTCAGGGTTTGTTCTCTATGCAGATCATATATAAATGCATACTCTACTTGGAATCATCCGTTAAAGTTCTAAAGATTTGAGAGATTTTCTGATGTTCTTTTTAAAATAAAAAAATTCTATCACTCTATTTGGATGATTTCTTTATTTGAGGAATATCATGTCATGATTGTAAATAGAGTATTTTCTTTGCGGTTTAATAGAATTTCTTCACAGAGTTATATGTTGGCCTTTTAGCTCGTAGATTTGCATTGTTTTTTTTTTTTTTATGTATACGTGTTTTTACTAATTTCTTATCAGAAAATGGTTGAAAAATCTCCAATTTTTTCAATAATTTAAATTAATGTTGATGTATCGTTTTTGAATAAAAAGACTAAATTCAAAATTGTACTAATAATGTTATATGCTTAGCCAAAAACAAAAGAAATGTTCGATACTACAGAAATTTTGACATTTGAGGAGATTTCTGTTACATTATTAAAAAAAAATACAGATAAACCCCTATTAACAGGCAAATCGATTAAGAAATTTTACTTATTTATTCCGACAGGAACACACAAACTTTGATATATATATCCACAACAAATGTGTTGTGTGCATACTGCAAATGAAAAAGTTTCAGTGTTTTTTCAGCCAACAGCGTAAGAATGAATAATAATATAAATAAAATAACCAATTCTAATCTCTTAACTAGTTTCTGCACAGATTCATTTTGTAAGTAAACAAAAGATTTATTTCTCACTATGTGAAGAATAAAAATTAGACTACCCTAATTCATTAAGTTCCTTTGTAAGATGACCAAAAAACCAAAAGCCACGGATTCAAGAGCTTTAGAGAAAGAGAATGAATATGATTTTTCTTCAAAAATAACTCTTCTTAGCAAAGCTAAAAACTTCTGGTAACTCTCCTGGAACCACACCACACAATCTCTGTATCAAAAATGATGGAATTTCAGATTTGCACAAAGCTTATATTACTGAAACTGGAGAAAAAAATATTCACTCACAGTTTTGTAAGTTGATATTCCAGCTTTGTATGCACAAGATGAAGAAGATTTCTGCATAAAAGAGAAGAAGAGTTTCTACGAAGGCTTGTCTTCCTCAGATGCTAACTCAGATGTTTCGGTTTCATTATCCGGATGCTTAACTTTTGCAGTTTCAAACTCAAGTTGTCTTGATTTGAATACAGCTGTTCTTTTAGCTCTTATCCGATATGGCGGAGACACATTGAAAACATTTCCATTTGACCCGATTTTTTCATCATCTTCACAGTCAGGTGTCTCTAGCAACAAACCTTCTCTCTGAGCTGGAGATATCTCTGAACTATCCTTCAAGGTTTCCTTTTGATCAGCTTCATTAACTCCACCATTAACAACAACAACCTCATCATCTGTTTTCCCCGCCAAAACGACCTTTCGCCTTTTTCGGAAAATAGAAGGCGTGTTTGGAAATGTCCTTGCAGCTTCTCTCAAGAAAGATTCAGGACTTCTTGTTGGAGCTAAACCGCTGTCTTTATAACACGGCGGAGTGTATAAGCTGACTGGAGATGCAGCAGCAGGACTGCAACCACGTTCATACCCGTACATACGCTGCAGATCCGTTTCTGATGGAAAATAAAAGTCTAGTGGAGACTTATAGTACAAGTTACCATGCTTTGGAGTTCCAAACCCATTTTCTTCTTTCCTCAGGGTTGATCTCTCGGCATAAGCTTTTGAGTTGCTTCCGACTTTCTCCGAAATTGGTCCCGGACTAGGTAACTGAGGCTTGTACTCAACAGCAGTAGGAGAACAAGTATATTCTTTATCATCGATACTCTTTGAAGCAGTTGCCTTTTCAAGCAAAGCAGAAGAAGAGTTAATATAGTCTCTTCCATCTTCTTCATTTGTATCTGTATTTCCTGAAGAAGTTTGGGTAACCGAATCAGAATCCTTTAAAGGTTTAGCGCTAGACTGCTTGGAATCTCTGTCTCCATCAACAAAATCATTGGGAACGCTGAATTTGGTTGCTGGCGGTGGCAAGCTACCGGTAGCTAAATAGAACTCTAATTTTTTCTTCAGTGAACTATTCCAGTGATTTTTTATCGCATTATCCGTCCTGCATAAAGTCATGAAATCAGAAGCATTAACTGAATCTGATGTTCAAAAGTGTCAAAAACAAAACTTTCTCTAAGACTTAAGCACTTTTAATAATGGTCAACACGGAAATACCTTCCAGGTAGGACCTTAGCAATTTCCGCCCATTTGTTTCCGTGCATTCGATGAGCGTTCATGAGAGCTGATTCTTCTTCGACGGTCCAAGCATCTTTTCTAATACCAGGATTCAAATGGTTGTGCCACCTGAAATCATATAAACATTGAAGCTTCTAAAATCAAAGGAAGTATATACTCTAATTCTAATCATTATTACCTTTCTCGACATTGCTTCCCGATACGACCTGGTAAAGAGCTTGCAATAACAGACCATTTGGCAGGTCCATATTTTTTTACAAGTTCAGTAATCTTATCATCCTCCTACAAAACCAGAAAGAAAAAAAAAAGAATTTTTAAGCTAGCAAATTTCACATGGGAATCAAAATCGTTAAAAGATTCAGAACATTAGAAGAAAGAACCTCTTGAGTCCAAGGTCCTTTAACAAGCTCTGGATTAAGAACTTTCTGCCACCGGTGCAAGCATTGGACTTCTGTTCTATCTAGGAAAAATTTCGCTGCAAATGAAAAACGATAAATCAAACAACAAGAACAATGAACTCATACCAGCTGCTTTAACATTTATGAAACGAGAGAATTTCACAAAATTTCCAGCAAAACTAGTACTACGGAAGTAATAAACACCGAACACTTGAGACAAGAGTTCACATCACAATTACAAATCTTATAAATTACCCAAATAAGTTGCAACAAAGATGGCATGCTACTACTTTTACAGGAAGTAGACTGAAGAAAATGAAATATACCTATTTGCTTCCACTTCTTCCCCTTAAACTTGTCAACAGCTTGTCTCAGTGTCTCATCCTGAATAGTGATGGAAACCAATTACATACCAAACTAACGCTAGTCTCATCTTTCATTCAAGTAAATACTAACCCATATACATACAAGATACATAGTCGAATGAGATCGCTATAACGCATCAACTAAATCATGAAAATCGAGTATCGGGAAATTAGAAACAAAAAGCAACCCACTAACCTCCTCTGGAGTCCAACCACCTTTCGCTCGCCTCATAGGGCCACTAGTCCTCCTGCAAGAACAACAACAGTGCACAATCCAAGATTTTAGAATGAGCGGAATTCAGAGTTCCAAACTAAGTCACAGAAAGAAGACAGATAACACTACCGATGAGTTGGAGATGCTGTGGCAGGAGTAGCGATTTCAGGTGACTTGTGGAAGAAACCACGTCCTTC